TTGGTAAAAAAATGTGTCTGAATGTGGAGTACAGAGCGAAGGGATTTATTTTCATGTTATCATCATTGTTGACTTTATCCGACACAGCTACTGATGTTGCTATCCCCGCAAATGTTTGAAGGATTACGATTTGAGGTCTCTTGATTTGAATCAACTGGTTGATGTCCTCGTAAAATAAAAGCTAAAGCGGTGATGTCGAACAAAAAGTGCGTTAGACGAGACAAGGAAAAAGAAAAAGAGGGGACCTTGTAAAATTTTTTCCAGTGGTTATAAGGAGCGAAAGTTTGGTATCAACTATCCGGGTGGACGTATATATGTATGCATTTGTAACTGACGCTTTGTAACCGCTAAAGGGATTTTCGGCCGAGCTCCTCCTCCAATTTGTGGCTTGCGGGATGATTGTTTAACAAAAAATGAAGAGAGCTACAGTTTACACAAAGCCACCTCCGAACGGCTGATGGTTTTTTTATGTGGAGCTTTATTACATGTCCGAAGTACACTAGAAGGGGTGGACATTCGCTGCCGAGGGGCGACCGCAATTGGACAATTTAAATAAATTTTTTTTTTAACTTAGCGATTCACTTTGCAGCACCAGTCACCATCCGCTCCAGAGATGGATCAATTTCGTTACGATTTTGCAGCGTTTCGCTAATGAAACGACGAAACATCCCCAAATGGGTTGAGGCTGATCGACTTCGCCGAGGCCCGAAATATGGTTGTCTGTAGTACTAGATTCCAGCACAAAAAAGTACAACTAGCTACTTGGCTGATTTCAGATCGAAAAACTTTCAGCCCGATCGATCATGTTGTGATAGGCGGAAGACATGTCTCCAATGTTCTTGATGTGCGTACACTCTGAGGACCTAATATCGACTCGGACCTTCATCTTAATGCAGCGAATATACACATGTGCCTATGTGTTATCGAAGAATGCCCGTCAACGAACACAAGGACAGTTCGACGTTGAAAAGCTGCAGTCACAACAGATTACCGTGCGGTTTTCTACTCGACTACTCTCTGAGAGCACTCATCAGCCGCCCGGCATAAGGGAACTGTGGGACAACATTTCAAGCTCCTTATGTAAATCTGTGAACGAAACACAACACGTGTGGGGTGGGATAGATACCGAAAGCTGAAGAGCGAAGCAAAAAGCATCCGCACACAAAAAAAGATAATGCTCGGAAAGATGCGGCGACTGACAGAAGGTTTCCAGACCGAAAATGGTAAGCCCAAAATCCAGATCGAACACGTCGAAGTACGAATAGCAACAAAGCTGATCAGGTGCCAGCATCTTTGCAAAATATAGTCCGATGTTCTCTGCTTAATTTACAAAAAAGGCGATCCCACAGTCTACGCCAACTACCGTGGGATAAGCCTCCTTAACATCGCCTATACGGTCCTATCAAACGTAAAGACTGAAGCCAATCTTCAACAAACTGATTGGACCTTATCTGTGTGGCTTCAGACCTGGTAAGTCAACCATTGACCAGACATTCACCATGCGCCAAATCTGGGAAAAAACCCTTGAAAAAGAAACGACACCTTTTCGTTGATTTTTAAGCAGTCTTCGGTAGCACGAAATGAAGCTGCCTTTAAGCCGCTATGTCTGAATTTGGTGTCCTCGAAAAACTTATACGACTGTATAAACTGGCTTTACGCAACACTAAAAGCTCCGTCAGGATCGGGAGGAACCTCTCCGAGCCGTTCGATACCAAACGAGGTTTCATACGGGGTGATTCGTATCGTATGACTTTTTTTACTCATTGCTAGAGAAAAAGATAGGAGCTGCGAAGCTGAATAGCGAAGGTACAGTATTCCATAAGAGTGTACAGCTACTGGCATACGCCTCAACAACAGCACCGACTAGATAAGGAAACGAAGACACAAACAGTTGTCGTATTCGCGACTTCCCTCCCACGTCTCTTTTGAGAGTCGTAACTTCCAGGTCCAGGATAAAAGCACTCTAGCTATGAAAGCATTTGGTGTAGTACCCGCTATCTGAAGCAAAAGAAGAGGAAGACCTCCATCACCTAGCTTCACTAGGTATTTCCAACTGGCACCAAATAGCGCAAAGCAGAGATGAATGACGCGCTATAATTCATTCGGCTATAAACGCAGGGTAAAACTCTGACTGAGATAAGCATTGTGAGAGAGGAAAAAAATCGTACACCTCTCAGACCTGCGTCATGACAGCAGGGTTAATAAGTAGTTTTTGTTCTTCTTTACAATACGACTCAGAATAAAAATTCGACAAATTTCAGAAAGCCAAAACAAAGTGAATTATATATGATATATAACTCAAACAACTCAAACAGAAATAAATATATTTTATATAAAATTAGATTTTAAGTCAATCAAAAAACATATTAATAAATGAGTTGGGAGAGTTCTGCTGGCAATCACGACAATGAACAACACAAAGTAACTTAAAGTAAAATTAATAAAAAACTTGATTTGAAATTGCTTAGTAAATCAAATTTCCCTTCTGCTTCAATATTTGCTTTTAATAAAATCTCTATTTGTCCATATGTACCGTATTTCTTTAACATTTTATATTTATTTATTTTCCATTCCAATTCGCACTCTCACATGCAGTTCATCCGAATTCAATTTAACATGCATTTAAGTCCTCCTAAAAGCTCTGCATTTTCCACACAAGTGACCAAAGGCACATCACAGACACATTTCAATTGTTTAGGTTTCCGAAAATGCAGAGAATGCTGGATATTTTTTTTATTTGTCTTTATTGGTTGCTTGTATTTTGTTTATTTATTTATTTTATTTATTTATTTTAGTTTCTAATCTTTCTACAACACAATCTATTAGTAAACTAGTGCGTTGTCACGCCCACACATACTCACATATTATGTGCATGTGTATATACATATGTATGTAAGTAAGTAAGTGTAATAGCGAAACAACTACAACTGCCAACCTAACAGAGACAATTCAATCAATTTAACGAGACAAAAGCTTTTTTGAGCCATTGATTGGATATTGAGGGCAAACTGATGGCCACAGCAAAATAAAAATGGCGCACAGCCACTCACATATAGATACGAGTGCATATGCATATATGTATGCATGTATGCACATAGATATTTGAACCAGAACAAATAACCGTACAAGTGTAAAAGTAGATCAACACCAGTGTATAGAGAAACAACGACGAAAGCTGCTGTCTAACGCAAAAACAACAACTTTCAAACAATTATGTGGTTGTGTTGGTCGGTGCATTTGTTAGATGTCCTGTTGGATAAACAAGTTCGAGTGTGATTCTCTTTCATGCCAACTAAAAGATCTATTTGCTCATTCTATGCCAGAGCTAGCTAACTAAACCAAACTAAAAGCCAAAGTGACTGGCTCAGCAAAAAGGTAGCAACACGCACACATACAGGCACATGCATACGCTTAGAAATCTATATACACTGACGTTCACTGTATTAGTGCTCAGTGTCTTTTTTCAATATTCGAAACACAAAATTTAGATGCAATTGGTTTTTTTTTTTGTATTTTACAATATATTTAAATAGTTGATTTTTTTATTATATTTTTAGCACAATTATATAACTTGTATGTACGTCACTCTGCCAGTTTGTAACTCTTTTAGCTGTGACGCGATTCCAATAAGAAAAATTTAAAATCGTTGCATACATCGTGGCGTTGCAATTAACAAAATTAATTAAGAGAAAATAAAAAATAAATAAAAATAAAATAAAGTTAATTAGAAAAATATATAAAAAGAATGTAGATTAAAAAAAAAACTAAAAAAGCATTCTTAATTATATTATTGTTTATGAACTTTTGTCTTAAGTTTATTTCCAAAATGATTTTCAACTGTTTAGTTTAATATTCTTTAAAAGCGTGTTTTTTAGTTTTTTTCAACAGTATTTGTTATGATTTTTGTTGTTGCTTTAAAGTTTTTTTTTTAACTTAAAAATATTCATAAAAAATATTTTGTAACTTTTCTTTGATATGTAGTATTAAAAAAAAATTATTAAAAATTATTTGGAAAAAATATATCAATATTTTTTATTTACACAAAAACTTCGAAAATTTAAGTTTATTTAATTTAATTGATTTCATTTTATACTAAATTTTAATGAAACTTATTTTTGAGCGTGAGTGTACAACACCAGAAATGTGATCTATTATTTTATTTCCAAAAGTTACGCACACAACTCTACCTGTCCAGCGGTGTTTATGTAAATGTAAACGCTCGCACGCATTTACCTCTAAGTGAAAATAGAAATGACGATTCCACACATCTACGCAAATATGCATGTGTGTGTATATGTATATTATAATAGTAAATGTATGTTGATAAACGAAATACTCAAAGCTGGCAACGGAGAAATGTGCATGTACGGTTGGTTGAATGCTTTCAAATGCTGAACAAAAATAAACGAACGTCTGACCCGGTTACTGCAATGGTAAACGCAACAACAAAAAAAGCTCTGGCAGCAAAAACAACAAATATGTGACATATATGCAAATACAAGTACATATGTCCAATAGAGATTGGAAACAAGTTTAAAGCAAAAGTGCTATTAAATATATGTAAAATTAAATTTCCTTATAATGAAAATGATTTTTGAGAAATTTATTATACATTATTTAAAAAAAACACTTTTGAACAGCTTTAATTTTTTTCAACAACACCTTATCGAATATCTATCTTAAATAAAGTCTGTAACAGCATAATTAACGCTGAAAAGTATGCAGTGAATTTTTTGTTGTATTCTCCAACTTTTTTGAGTAATAAATCGTTGCCTACAATTAGACTTGATTCATAGATATTATCACAGACACACACCTGTTTCTCCCTTAAATTTAATATGCAATTGCCGTTGGTAATTGCATTCACAATTTTTTTTACTTGCAACTAGAAAGTCTATCTGTGGAATATAGATTTATATGCTTAAGCATTATTTTATTTAAAATATATACCTCGTTATTTTCAGCGCCATCACATGAATTTTTATTTTTATGGTACTTACCACTTGATGTTATATTTGCTTGAACTTTGCTATTATTATTGTCACAGTTATTTCAGATGTAATATCAGAATTAATAGTTCGCACTTTGATGAGTTCTGTAAGAAAATCAGAAGAAGAAATGTCAAAATAATTTTGGTTTGGTTATAGAAAATATTAATTGTAAAGTGCAAAGAAAAAAAAAATATTTTCAATAAAAGTCAAATAAATAAAAGTTAGCAGGCTTTCAAGGAAATGTGTAGATTAATAACCTCACAATGCGTTAAATTTTTTAAAAACTACCACAAAAATAGTGTTTCAAACGTAGCTCCGTTTCGTGAGGAAGGAGGAAATTATAGTGTATTTAACTATCGGTTTCAGATATTGTAAGGCGTAAGTATCATCGTACGATTGTTGAAAGTGTAGCCGAAGACCCACAGCTGTCTTTATCTCGGAGTTATCAAGAGCTAGGACTTTCGTACGGAAAAATAAGTCGTATTTTGCACTTGTGTACATACGAAAAGCTATATTTTTCACTCGTGGAATACGTAAATGAAACATTCGCGTTCGGAGCTGTGGGAATCCTCAAATAGTTGAAGAGAGGCATTTTTTCGTAAGTTCTTTGACCCGGAGGGCTAATTGGACGACCTTAAAAGACTGTCACAGCCAATTGGAAGTATTACGGTCCCTTCATAAACGAAGTTTTTTGGCCTGCATTTGGAGAACACGACCTGGACAGTATGTGGCTTAAACAATATGATGCCACTTGTCATGAAAGATGATCAAATATGGCTTTAATAGTAGGTAGATTTCTTAAATTTATATTGGATTTTATTTTATAGGGCTACGCGACAAACCGTGTTTAATGAGACAAACCTTTAATCTTTGAGCAAAAAAAGGCAATATAATTCAAAAGGTGGTCGAAAATTAACTCAAATGGATCAAACTTTGCAAAAATTTGGCATTTGAATGATGTAGTGTTTTACATATATTTCTAGTCAAGGCTCAAACATTATAATAAAATAGGAATTTCATATATAAGTTTTTTGAGCGTATTTTATTTATGTGTATTTTCGAAACCCCAAAATTGGTAACCCTATACACCCACTGCGTTTTTTGCCTTACAAAACTCTGTGAATCGATTTTATACACAAATTATTTTAATATATAAATATGTTATTATTTTGAGACTCCGAAAAGTTCTCTACATATTTTGTAAACTATTTTTATTCCAAAAAAGTACTTAACTTTAAAAAAAGGGGGACCCGAAGGACTGTACTATCTGCTTAAGAACCATTAGAATTTTGTTAAGTTAAACAAAAACTATCCTCTCTCGTTGAGTAAGCTTGACTATAATAGCATAAACAGCGTTGAGGGCTAAGAAGAAGATTAAGCCTTTGTTCAACGAAGATCAGTCATTGCATGGCAAAACCCAACAGCCTCCACTTACTTGCAGTGTGCTAGACTATCAGGGCAAATGAAATAATTTTTCCAATAGTGAAATCGCCAATCTTATTTTGTAATCTCCGACAAACGCTAGCCATTTCCGATTACTTGATCTAAACTATTATATTACTTGAGGCTAGAGAAAGAAAAGAGTTCCAAAATGACTTTACTACATAAAAATTTGGATTTCTTAAATTGAAAAGAAAACAGATCTCGCACGCAACAGAGCCAGCAGGATATGCAGAATCAAATTACGGAGCCTACAACGTAATACTTAAAGCATAGCTATGGGTTACTTGAAATATAGATAACAATTTACATTAATTGGGACGAGCTAACTCCGCACCTGAACTATGTCCATGATGTATCTACAGGCGTTGGGGAAATAAAAAGATCCCGACTACTGGTCGCCTGAAGCAAAAATTCATCTGCATGAACGCAGCAATTCAATACTACAAAATTTTACAACATCACTTAAGAACAAAATTGCAATAATGATGAATCCACCAACTTTAAAGGGATAATAACGCGAGCTCGTTACGAGATTTGGCCAATTTAGTGCGCTCACAGTCGCCAGTTTCAATTACAATTATTAACTCGAAAAATTTATCACCCAAAGTTAACAAGTCGACATAATTTTTGCGCTTCTTAAAAATTCTCAATTTCATCGCCCGCAAGAGCCAACAAATACATAGCTACTATAGTTGCATTGGCTCGCCTGGCTGTGGTCCAAAACTTTCGCACAACCAGGCAACCAGCCAACGAACCAACCAACCAACCAACTAACCATTCCACCAACTAGCAGACCAACGTCCGACGAAAATCGATGCTTTTAATTAGTGCAGCACACATTCACACCACACACACATACATACATACAAAATAAAGTTTACATATATACATTTGCTTTTAACAAGCATGTATTCGCATAGAGGAAAAAGGAATATTTTATACCCACACACACACGCGTGCGATCGCGAGAGTATGAGGGGCAAAAACAAGAAACTGGCGATTGTGCAAAATATTATTTGAACGACAGTAAACCGCAGCGCGACATTCAGTCGTCGCTGAATTTCGCTCCAATTGGGGTTGCATGTAGTGGTAAATGACGAACCCAGCGTAATGGCTTCCACGCGATACCAGTGACCACGACAATATATTGAGCTAGGAAGGGGAGGGAAAGAACTCGCCATTTACTGATACTACGCGCGCTCGTCCACCGCAAAACTTACTTTACTCTACTAACTGTGCTTTTTTGAACGTGAAAATCGAAATTCGGCTCTTGGAATCAACTCCCTTCTGGGTGAAAGTAAGTGAGTTTCGCGAACAATATTGGTTGTTCTCTATGCTATTCACAAGACCACAGGCAGGCGGCACATTTTAAGGCTCGGCGCACGTATTTTTGTATGTGCATGTGTGTGAGTCTTTGAGCTTTTTTATACACCTTTTGGTTGACCTTTCGATCTTCGCAACGCTTATTCGGTTTCTTGTGGAGAATTTTCGTTCCACTTTAACATTCAGGAGCTCAAATTTTTACATGTGGCAAATTTAATTTGTTCGCCTTACCAGGAACATGAAGTAAACGAACTTAAAACCGAAAGGGAACACATTTCTAGAATCAGATATTTTGACTGTGCTGGACGTACTTCACTTGTGTAGCCTCCGGTTTCGCCATCGAATCATCTTTTCGTTGAACAGTTAAAGGGACTATACTTCACTATACTCTTCAACGTCCCCTGGCCTTGGAACATTGGGAGCGATAATGAGTTAGTACTATACTAAGTTTAGTTCAAAAAGCTCAGATGATTCAATGGAAAAAGGTTAAGATCGTTCTCTAAAGAGTAGTCATTTCATAGACGCAGAGTCTTCGTAAATCGCTCCCTTGAAAGGGACTCTCAAAGTTGGTACAAATAAAGCAATACCTCCACTTTGGAGATACCTTAAAGTTTTATCTGCTCCGACTTTTTCCAACTCCCCTTAAACCTTAGCAGGCTTCCTCAAACATTCCGATCTCATTACTATACGTCAAGACAGGAAAGATGAGAGACTTATCTGACCTTTGTTTGCATTTCAATTTCCTACACAGTCAAAGCTGATTCCAGATAAATGAAGTTATCTTTGACCACAGTATCTTGGGTCCGAGCTGAGAATATGTATGTTGAGGTGAGACTATTTTTAATTGCAGCTATGAACCTGCGATCCAATTAGCGGAGCCTCAATTTGATTTAACCGAAAAAATGTTTTGGGGATATGGCTGAAGTTGCAGAACTTGGCCGCGAAAAAATTTGTGACTTTCCGGTATAAAGACGCGGCTGTCGCTGAAACTATTGGATTTCCATCGCCTCTTATCGCTGGTAAGTTTTAGAACCATCAACTCGCATGGGAAACGGAATATCGTTGTGTGAGTGAAGATTTATATAGAGAGCTTTCTCAAAATTAAAAGTTCTCTAACCTGATTTGAATATAGAAAACAGACAGGAAGTTCAGTTAATAAAGGCGAGGAGAGGTTGTGATATATATTAAATATTTACTACAAGGCGCTTCTGAGGCACAGGACATCAGTATAGCTATTACCAGCAACATTTGGATTTGCGCCGCCTAAGATTTTCCTTACTTTCTCTTTTTTATGAAACACAAACACACATACAAAAACTGTTTACGTAAGTGCGTATAGGTGTTCCCACCCACTCGTATGACCAATTCTTCACCACTTAGATCTGTGGCTTTGCTACACTTGCGACTATTTAAGTTCATTAAAAATCAAAAAGCGTTTCATATTTCTGAGGACATAAATGTACGTGCGTAAAATATGCAAGGCACGCAGAAAAAACGAGAAAATTAAGCATATAAAGCAAAACGAAAGGAAGGAGACAAAAAGTCGCCCAAAAACGGACCAAAAATAGTGCAAAATTTTGTGGCCCAAAAAATGTGACAAATTCCTAAGAAAATGAAACTGCAAATCGTTCCTACGCCACTCTTCTCCCCAAAACTCAATTCATTTCCCTCGCACGTTCTGCGCTCACAAGCAAGTGGCAAAGCAAAAGCAACACCATGGTCGCCGAAATGTGGGCAGAGGTCGATGCTCAAGCGACGTGTTTTCGAAACTTTTTGGCTAATTCACCGCCAACGCGTACGGCGATTTAAGTTTAGACAGCTAAAAGAGGCTGAAGTACTTAGTACATGGAACCAGTGCGAAGGCTTGCTGCTGAGTGGCGAGTTCGTTGAATCTTTGAAGAGCTGCGTATGGATTAAGTGGATGAGTGCGAGTAAGGCGAGCAGTGTAGGCAGCAGAGTGTGAGCAGAAAGATAACTAGTTGTATTTGTTGAACGTGTACGAGTGGTGATGGGTTTAAGTGACAGTAGGCTTAGGGCAAGAGGTCGTTCGTCTGTAGTCTTGCTGCGAGTGTAGTTGAGTAATAGTATCCTCAGGCAATTGGAAATAGCAAAAGCGTGTAGAAAATAAATAGCAAGCGAGGGACGGAGAAATAAAATCACAAAAAACAGAACTAATCTAAGGCATGTATATACAAAATTGTATAATATATAAAATATATAGGCCACCTCATAACCCTTAAGCTGTTTAAGATTGAAAATCTTACATTATTCTGGGAGTGAGCCTCTTTGGGGGGACAAATATCCAATTTTTGCGGGAACTATCCGGTTTCAGAATTCA